CTTCACGAACTAATCTACTACTCTCCTTCACCAATCTACCATTCTCCTTTACCATACAATATACTACTCTCCTTCACCAACCAATCTACTACTCTCCTTCACCAACCAATATACCACTCTCCTTCACGAACTAATCTACTACTCTCCTTCACCAATCTACCATTCTCCTTTACCGTACAATATACTACTCTCCTTCACGAATTAATCTACCACTCTCCTTCACCAACGAATCAACTACTCTCCTCCACCAACCAATAAAACATCCTTCGCAGGTAGATCAATATACCACTATTCGTCACCAATCTACCACTCTCCTTCACTAACCAATCTACCGCTCTCCTTCACCAACCAATGTACAACTCTCCTTCACCAACCGGTCTACCACTCTCCTTCACTAACCAATCTACCATTCACCTTCACCAAGCATTCTACCACCCTCCTAAACCAAGCAATCTACCACCCTCTTCACCAAGCAAACCAAACAGTATACCACTCTCCTTCAACCAACCAAACTACCAATCTAAAAATCAAGTAACCATGGAAATCAAGTGCACGTGTAGTTAATTCAAATTTAGAAAGCACATGGCATTGAGTTTATCAATTTATCAGTAAAGATTTCCCCTTAGTCATACAAAATATAGGATGAAGAGTATATTGAGATAACTAATTGATATGATGACGGGAATTATCTCTTCAGATCAAAAATATATATTACACTCCACATGATAATCATATCTACATAATATATTTGTAATAATGATTCAGATCATCTGGTCTCGGTGTGTTCGAGCCCTTGATACTGGGGTAATAGTTCCCTTTGATGGTATCTTAGAACACAACAACAGGCACCTGCTAGACTCTAGAGGGGAATTCTATGAAAGGCGTATTTTAAATCAAGGCAGAGTCATAAGGTGTTAATGGACCCCAAGCATACCTATAGCCCAGAATGAGTGTTTTCGAGGTTGCATCGCTGAATAGATTCATTCGGTTAATTCTGTAACTGACTATTGTATACCGCTTCTATAGAGCTGTTGTATGAATAACATAGTGAAAAGTAAACCAACAAGTATTTAAATCTTTCCATGCATGCGCTTTGTACGTGTGGTCAAATATGCATTGACATCAATTTCACTCATGCATAATACAATATATTATAGTGTATCATATTGGATATGATATGCCTATAATAGATTAATATTATGATATCATTGTCTACCTAGACGTGTTATTGATCCATACGACTAAAGTGAAAGTAATTTTACCTATAGACCATAAACATTGTCAACCAATCAATATTTGTATGGATCAGTAAGAGAATATAAAGGTAATTGTAATGGAACTGTAAAGAGCTTTGTGATGTGTTAAGCCACAAATAGACGAGATGGGGTGTGAGGTGCGTGATTTTCGATACAGTTGAACATAGAAGAAGTGAACACACGAGGTATAGGCTTGGACACGATGCGGACACAATTCCCGTCGGCTATTTTCAATTGTTCGGATGATCCCGCACCGTACACCACATTGGACACTTCTCTCTATAGAACTATTCCCATCTTTAGGTGGTCGAAGAGACTTGAATGTCTAAGACAAAAAATATTCACTTATTACAGTGGAGATTCGACAATCAAGTCTGGCCATGACCTAAGGTTCTAGTGACATATTTTCATCATAACAGTAATTAATTTGAAATGAACTTGACCTTGGTAATTGAGATGCGGATCATAATAACATTTGAAGTGGTAAATTAATGGGAGTGAGTGTGAACGACTCAAGTTCTGTTAAACATTTGTTTGGATTGGATAAAAACCGTCTTACGATCTCGTCAAACATGAAATATAAACAGACATTCTCAAATAACATTCATTCAAGTTATTGAGCGTCTATGGATACCTACACGAAAAACCTAATAACCAGCTAACATACTTATATATCGCGTGAAAGATTGTGTTCATAATGGCCGCAGCATCGGTCGATAGAGGCTGGGCTTGGATGGTAGTTTTATCTTCCTTCTTTGCTCATTTCTTTTCCTTTGGTGTAGCCTGGACCACTGGTGTATATAACATTATCTTCTTGGAACAATTTGGACAATCCCGGTTAGCCACAGCATGGGCCAGTTCTCTCACACCGGCTTGTATGTTTTTTGCAGGTATGTATAAATATGTAATTATTGAAATAGTTATTTCGTTTACTGTGTTACTATTATAACTGATTTTATCGCCAGGTGGTTTAAAGATAAAACATAAGCAAAAGATGATGTACTTAGTAACCTTTGAAACTCAAAGCCACGAGTAAGACGTCTTTAATGGGTATTGTCAACTCTTAGTGCTTATGATTTCCAACTAAAAAAGGTTTTGTGGTCATAATCACATGGTCTTAGAGCAAGGTTGTGGCATATCTGAACACATTGTTGTTGAAACCGTGAATAGATGGAACCATGGTTCACTTTAAATCCAATTACCTCGTGGGCACTCTCGATGTAGTGGAATTTAACCAATCAAAACGAAAGGGTTGCCCGTACTCATGGTTAAAACAAATATGTTTAAGAGTGTTGATTAGATGGTTTGATAATCACGTGACATCATAAATATTTATTACCCCATTTCCTATTACGAGGTATACCTGTGACAGTAAAAAACGTAATAGATTCTGGCGTAAAGAAGAAACGATGATCTAAATAGCTCTATACCGTTCCGCTCTGTATTTTGTCAGATATGTAAAGTAAGGTATAGATATATTGCATATGACCACATAGAACATCAGTATATACCTATTAAATAATGGAACACAATTTTATGGTTTACTACTCTCGAGTTTTATTGTACACAATAAAAATCTGGAGCAGTTTACCATGAAATTTTAGTAACTTTCTGAATAGTGAGTACCTACTTGAGAAAATAAAACAGTTAGGTCATACGCGAAATCAAAGGCATAGCAAAATTTTGTATTTTTGTAAAATAAATTTGCTAATTCTCATACGTCATTTAGTAAGTTTTAATTTCAACATTCAATTACACAAAACACTCCCACGCATTTCACAAGAATTTGAAAATAGATTTAAATGCATTCTTCATAACACTTCAACGCGTCTCTCATTTATTACTTCCCAAGGCCAATACGCAAAATTAAGATGTCAAATTAATCAAAACTGCATTGTAGTTCTTTCAAAAAAGACCACGAAACAGTTATTAATGAACAAAGTTTTCAAGAAAAGGACGAATTTAGCACGATTCCACCAGACATGCCTTATTAATTTTCTTATGACCCAGGACATGGAGCTATCATAATTTCGTTTTATCCAACTATCCAATTTGGCAAAATATAGACTTTCTATTTTAGTTAATTAACATTGTAACATGTAAGCGTTTGCGTACCCTGAAACCATCGGTTAAAGATTAGTAAATTTGCGAGTTCTACTTAAGTGGCAGTGCCAGCGACTAGGGGTATAAATAAGGGGCAGACTGACTTAATCGGTAGACAACAGAGGAGGTGGAGGTTGAGATTCAAAATCCGGCAGCTTTGTAGAGGCGCTATCCCCTATACACCTACTGGCGCCGCCACTGTTCTACTTTGACATAACATGAATAATTCTGTATCGACCTTGTTTTTACTAATTCAAAGCATCTTCGATGATACTTTTTTATTACATTTTAGGACCATTCGCTAGTATAATGATCAATAAATTAGGATGTAGAAAAGCTATGATAATTGGTGGTTTGACGTCTTCTTTTGGATTGATTACCAGCTATTTTGCTCCTAGCATTCATTATTTATATGTTACATTCGGTGTTATAGCAGGTCAGTATATTTCATTATTTACATGTTACATTCGGTGTTATAACAGGTCAGTATATTACATTATCTACATGTTACATTCGGTGTTATAACAGGTCAGTATATTTCATTATCTAAAAGTTACATTCGGTGTTATAACAGGTCAGTATATTTCATTATCTACATGTTACATTCGGTGTTATAACAGGTCAGTATATTTCATTATCTAAAAGTTACATGTTATAGCAGGTCAGTATATTTCATTATCTACATGTTACATTCGGTGTTATAACAGGTCAGTATATTACATGATCTACATGTTACATTCGGTGTTATAACAGGTCAGTATATTACATTATCTACATGTTACATTCGGTGTTATGACAGGTCAGTATATTACATTATCTACATGTTACATTCGGTGTTATAACAGGTCAGTATATTACATTATCTATATTTTACATTCGGTGTTATAACAGGTCAGTATATTTCATTATCTACATGTTACATTTACTGTTATAACAGGTCAGTATTCATTATTTATATTCTATTAATATTTGTATAATATATTGTTTGGGAATCCAATTGATCAATGTTGTTTCGACCGATAAAGTTATTAGAGCAAAAGAAATGTTGACCTATTTCCTTTCTTATTCAGAACTACGTTTTGCACCCAATAGAATAGGGTTTAATTATATTCAAAAAGCGTGAGGTGGAAAAAAGATGATAAATCGTACTTGCCTATATTGATTCAGTGCCAAGCAAAACCTACCTGTAACACTCACTCAAATTTCCTTTAACTTTCAGGATTTGGTTTTGGTTTGAGTCATTTATCGGCAATAACAGCAGTGACGTTTTGTTTTGATCGGCGTCGTAATCTCGCCACAGGGATAGCCGTCACTGGAGTCGGATTAGGGACTCTGACTTTTCCTCCTCTTATAGCTTATTTAGTTGATAATTATTCATGGAGAGGATCTTTACTCATTGTTGGAGGCATGTGTCTCAATTTATGTGCTTGTGGTGCCTTAATCAGACCCATTTCGAGAGTTAAAAGAATCAGCAACACGACCTATCTTGATACAAGTATCTTTAAGAAGGCAACATATTGGTCTGTATGTGCTAATAGCTTCCTCATATGTTTTGGTATGTCCGTCACATACATCCACCTGACTGCTTTTGCTAAGGATTCGGGTATAAACCTTGAGGACAGTACTCTCCTAGTATCGGGAATTGGGGTCTCCAATCTGGTCGGTCGTTTGATTTTAGGTATTCTGGGACAACATCCTAAAATCAATCTTGTTTTACTTTATATGTTTTCGTTTGCAATAGCTGGCGTGTCAGTGTTTATAAGTCCGTTCTGGAAAACATTTGCTGGATTATTAGTACTGGCTCTTATATTTGGGTTCTGTACAGCTGGAATAGGGACATTATTCGCTCCAATATTAGCTAAGATATTGGGATTAAGAAGATTTACTGGTGGCTATGGATGTGTTTCTATGGTTAGTGCTTTAGGACAGGTGCTTGGTGGACCAATTGCAGGTAATTGTGGATTTTCAATATTATCGAAGGAACACATTAGCCCATTGATCTTGGAGCTTGCTTGCTGACGAACGTGGACAAGTCGATTGAACAGTGCATGATAACTTCGGGAGTCGATATGATTTATAGCGATCAGTTAAAAAACATTACACCAACGGATGATTCGCATATTTAATTCACTCATTAGTTTCATGATTGTGAAGCAAAAAAGTCAGAACAAAGTCCTCTTATACCGCCATTATTCATCTTTGCTCTGCTGTAATCCGTTCAAAAAATCATCAGTTTAAATTTTTTGTTCTCTTTGCAGGTCTGTTGTTTGATTTAACTGGCACGTATTCCGCAACATTCTGGACAGGTGGAATAACATTATTAGCTAGTAGTGCTTGTATGGTATTACCTTTACGGTATAAGAGTAACTCAAGAATCAATCCACCTTCAATTAGAGAAGACTTCTTGAGTGAAACAGATGGTAATCAGATCGTTAATGGTTCACCAACGCTTGTTTATCCGATTTCAAAACGTACAAGGCGAATGGCATTTCTTAAATCTCATTAAATACAACACAAACACATTCCGTTTAAAGTGCTCAATATATGTTACATGACATCATGCTGGAATAGCAATAAGGCTCTGACTTGAATCCATGAACTAAATCTATAAAATATCGGGTGGCCCTGAAAAACGACAACACTTTTCGTTTGATTTCTAGAAAGTACAGAAGCTAAAACCATAATATTTTGACCTCATAATTAAAGCGATATAAGATATTTTTTCACAACAAAGCTTTGATATCTTATGAAAAATCCTGAAATGAAAAGCTTTCAGGGTTACCCGATTTACTTGTTAGAGTGAACTGAGATTACTAGTGTTATCCATGGTATCATGATCTACGATTTTAAATTTCCGGTGACAGTTTTTTTCTCAAATCATTATATATCCAATATTTTTTGTTAACATAATTTTGTTATTGTTGGATTACTGTTATATTTTATTATTGAATTATTAAACAATTATAAAAAAGAAACTACTGGTTTGATTTTTTAAAAGTATTTTTTTTTTAAATCACTAGAGCATTGCATTATCTTTATGCATGACACGATAGTACATTGGTGTCAGCCTCCACGAGACTTAGGGTACAAATAGCTCGATGTTTGTCACCGACTCGAATCTTGAGTAGGATCAGAATTTATAATATCAAACAAGTTTGATATTGTCTCTGATAATTTTATCGTCTGCAAGTCAAATCAGATCAGATTCATTTGCCTTAAATTTGCATGATCCGAACGTGATTATCGACAGTGGAAAACAACCGACTGGAGATTTTTGCAATTTTAATTTTGATTGCCGAAGTATAGTTTGCAATGTCGAAAATTCCTACATGAAGTGTATAAGTACATCTCTGCAAGACTTGCGTTTTTCGCTGTCATTATTATATTACTGGTTTCTTCTATTTCTTCGAGCTTTCAGACTAGGTGATGGTTACCTCCCTTATAATTCAAAACACTTCACCGACACTTGTTACTGTTTCATTCATTGAGAAAACGTCAAATCAAATTAAGATCTTCAAAAAGTCAGTAGGTATTACAACATTGTTTTGTGGCAACTCAACGCAAAATTATTTCCTAAAAGGCAATGGTAAATAAATTGAAACCCTTTTACTAACATCAGACAAGCCAAATACTGAAGGGTCGTTATCATTTCTCTATAAATGGTTTCACTATAATTGTATATTTAATGTATATTTAATCAAAAGAAATTGCATATAATTTACATTCCACCCAGTAGTATTATTTGATAAGCAATTTCATATTATATTAGAATTTGATAATGTTATGTACTAATAGCTCTGTCTCTTTCTTTTCAGTAAGTGTTCAAGTGTATATATATTTTGTCTGTCACAATGTACCACTATGTTCCCGAGGACGACGGAAGAAACACGTCAAATTGTTGCACAAATCTTAATCAATTATTGTTTTCCATTTAGATAATGATGTTAGTTGAGGTATCACCATGTGGGATGCAGCACACTCATCGACACTATGCTTCGAATAAAAAATCAATTTACACTCTTGAAGGGATTCAATTCAACATTTGGACGACCAATGGGTGAACAAAGTAGGGGAACAGAAGCATCCAACACTGTCCTAGCAATTCTTCTCATTGCATGGCATTTTCTGATTATTAACAAAGTTTCTAACTGGTGTATTTTAAGTGATGTATTTCTGTTAATGTAAGATCAGCAATGGAATCCATAAGAGAACGTACATTCACATTCAACTAAACAATCTAAATAGTCCCTTATACAAAAAGACTAATAAATATGTAGAAGTTCATTATATTGCGTTATAGATAGTTGGATCTTTTCAAAATAATTATTCACGCGTAATAGCTCTATTCATTTGAAAAAAATAATAATAATAAAATAAAAAATAGTTAAAATATGTTTTTTATGTAGACTGTTACGCATAATAAAGGACGGGTTACTATTTCATAAACATACTACATTAAAAATAGTTGTCCGACTTGATCATAATCTATGAAAAATGTCAATGTCTTACAATTTTGTTTACCATAACAATAGGGAACTATTTCTTTGTTTTAACCTTCCTAATTGGTGTGTATGTTGAGCAGCAATGGCGGTTGTGGCAGTAGTATGATCATACAGAGAATGCTTACTCTTCTAAATAGCTGACACCATTCTCATTGTGAAATACTTACTTATGATTGATATACTTTCTCATGTCAAAAGTTCATTATGCTATTTACTGCCATTAACTGGTACTAAAATTGACGTTAGAAGAATAAAATTTAGAAACTGTTTTATTGCAATATTAACATGTGCGAAATAGTCTATGAAATATACACACCAGTAACAATCTGATTCTTAAATAGAAAAGCTATAATATGAAAATAGTGTACTTAATACAGTGATATCACAATAAAATATAAGTTATAAAAGCCCTCACGCAAGGTAGAAAAATAGTAATATTCTTAAATAACGACATTATAAAATGATATGGAAATATGTTTACTGGTTGTATATTCATGAATTGTGAATTATTAATGAAATCAATTCAAACAGGATTGCTTTAATTATGCCCGAGATCAATATGGTAATATTAACTTCAAACGTATTCTGTATGTATAATTCAACATTCAGCAAAAATGACGTTTACTTTTCCTTAAAAGGAATGTAAAGAGGTTTTCTAAATCTTGTATGTGTATCGTGGACACTGATAACATCAATTTGCACCATTCCTGTTTCCTATCTGATGTCTGTGGTTCCTGCAATTCCACTAAAACCAAGTGTTTTATGACGACATTAATCACAAAATATGCATTATCATAATATTAGTTTTAGTAGAATTGCAGTAACCATAGACGTCTGATAGAAACTGGAATGGTGCAAATTGATGCTATCAGTGTCCATGATACATATACAGAATTTAGAAAATTTCGATACAATCCCTTTAACGATATGAGTGACAATTATCATATATGTCTAAAACTACGGTATTTACACTATCAATATGATAGAAAAAATAATGAAATGTGGGTTTACTTTCAAAAATTATGTATTTCTACACATAACTGGCCTATTGCTATTATTATAATGTTATTAAAGCCAAATAAAATATAATAACAATCATCTTCTTATAAAGATTGATAATCATAAGATTGAAAATATTCGACGTAAAATGAGAAAATTTATAACACCAGCTTCACATATTGTACAAATATCATAATAATCTATAATAATAAAATATTTCCACCGTTAAAATACAATACAGTGCTCAAAATATCAATTGTAGAGCAAAACAGAAATATTTACTGTTAAAATAGTGTTCATTATATCAATTGTAGAGCGATATAGAAATACCACTGTTAAAATAGTGCTCAATACATCAATTGTAGAGAGATATAGAAATACCACAATTAAAATAGTGCTCAATACATCAATTATAAAGCGATATAGAAATACCGCTGTTAAAATAGTGCTCTATACATCAATTGTAGAGCGATATAGAAATACCACTGTTAAAATAGTGCTCTATACATCAATTGTAGAGTGATATAGAAATACAACAATTAAAATAGTGCTTAATACATCAATTGTAGAGCAATATAGAAATAAATCATTTCAGGCGTTTTATGATTCATTATCTGTAGAGAATCAATTCACATAAAAAGATCTGATCTTTTTATTAAAATTATATAAGAAAGAAGAATTTCCTATCCCAAAATTTCTTTGTAATTTAATACAATACTCACATTATTGTAAGAATAATACTTTATTAAATACATATGATTATACATATACATTATATGCTCACAAGGCAGTGTTATTAAGAGAAAAATAGCATTATAAGACATGTATAGTGAAAGAAAAAGAAGAGTCATATGGATATATCGTTATTTTCAAATCATGGCAACTGAAAGAAGCATTAGAATGTTAAATGCGTTTTTAGAGCACATAATATGTAACTGCCAGTGTCTTGTAAGGTTTATTAATATTTCAGAAATTTTGTTTCTTTTGCTTTCGTTATATTATCACATACTTTAAAAGGCATTGTCTGATAGAGTCAGACATCATGGAATGTTTATTTGGAAATAATGTCGATGTACATGTAACGAGATCCTCGTTTTTGATATTTTGTAACTGTCAGCAGTAATTCTAAATAAAAAATATTGTCATAGACAAATAAACATCAAATTCACATATATTTCAAAACTACTACTCATAATAATCTTAATATTTATAGACAATACCACAATAAATAGTTTAGAAAATTACTAGCATAACTACACACAATCTATGTTTGAAATAACACACTTTTATGTTAAGCTACTCCTGAGTTCTACATTTTCTCCTGATGATGAACATGTAAATTATTGAAGACCTGTGTATAATAATAGTGGTATACTGTATACCATAACTTTGCGTTCGATTCTTAAATGTGATCACTTCCCCTTAATGTCGCTTAAGGACAAATCTATATTTTGAAAACCATGATATTTAAAGCCACGTGATCCCTAATAATATATGGTTTAGATTTCCGTTTCATACAGCTCACCTAGCTTAACTTTCTCACCATTCTCAATAAAAGCTACTTGATAATCTGGTATACCGTCATCAAACGTTTTCTTTCCCCAACAACCAATTAGTTTCATTGCCAGACCAGCTATTATTAGAGTACCCCCTGCGATGAAGAAAGATACCTCGTATGTACCCGTTGTATCATATAAAAATCCTGAAATATACAAAGATACATCGAGTCGTTGTGAGAAATGAAATTAAATTCGGGTTACTACAATCTCTATCTGAACGTGTTTGTCACCACAGACAAAGTGCCGATGTGATAAAAGGAAAACATACACAACCGATATTTTCCCCATATCAGGTATGATTTTAAACAGTGGCGGCCTCAGTATATCATGACTAGGGGTACAAATAAGGGGCAGATTGACTTAATGCGGGGACAACTCTCCAAGCTAAATTGGAGACGTCTGAGAAGGTTCTTTCGAAAAATATAATTGATTTGGTGCATTATGACACATATCTAGTGCCAAAAACAATAACATTTTTCAATTTGCAAGAAACAAAGTTGGGAATACAATTCTAGGTACCTGTACCCCGAATGGCGCCACCACTGATTTTAAATGACAAGACTATCGGTTAACTGCATATCTGTGGTAACTTACCAGCGAATGGACCTCCCATAAGTTGTCCTATTGCCATAAATATCAACAAGCACCCATAACCATTAGAAAATCTTCTGATACCCAGTAACTCAACAAGAATGGGAGGCAACAGTGCACCAAAACAAGCAGTAAAAAATCCAAACACAACGGCTAAAAACACTAAGGCGATGTAAGAACTACCTGAGAATGCAAAACATATAGAGGCAACTCCTGAGATGATATTTGAAACAGCATAGAGAACTATCACATTCACCCTGGGATGGTTGGCAGTAGCTCCAAGAGCAAATCGTCCACACAAATTGGCTGCTCCTATAGATGACATTAACATAGCTGATTTATTGTCTGTATAACCACAAGCCTCAGAATAGGCAGTGAGATGGAGGTAGACGATTGAAAGACCAAAACTTAACATTACAACGTTCACGGACAGAATTAGATACCCTTTCTTCCTCAGTGGTGAAAAGTCTATAACTTTGGGTTTTTCCTCTTGATTGATATGGAATGATGAGATTGGACGTACAACACAACCACATACCACAATATTTAACACTATAGCCCCTATGATTAACATGGATTCTCGCCAAGAATACATGTCTGATAAGGTATTGATTAACGGGGGGAATATAAAACAACCAAAGCCCGCACCACTCACAGCTATTCCTGTAGCAATATTTCGGTATTTTTGGAAGTACAATGTTAATGCTGTTATGGCAGGTATATAACTTAGTCCAATACCCAAACCTACAACGATAAAGATTACATAGAGGATAACTCCTTCAGAATAATATAAAGAGTAAATGGACACATCTGCCTGTTCTCCATTCCAGGAGCCAGGTTGACATGCGAAGGGGAAAGGGGGTGGGGGTGTCGAAATATCTGAGGTTGCCCGAATTTCAAACCTAGTAATGGGAGTCATGTCAGAAAAACTTGCATTCGGGTCTTCAAGGGGGGTCGGAGGATGGGGCTGCCTCCTCTGTCAAGGTGGGCTCACATGCATTTATTTTCCTCTACATAATGTACAGAAATTGTCGGGAGGAGCAGGTCGATCAAGCCTTCATTCTGACATCCTTATCTACATGTATACACAACAAACGGAATAAAAATTTAATTGTTGACCTACCTGTAATAATACCAAATGTGGCATACAATACATAAATATTGGGTGCAAAATAACTAGCCATCATTCCAAATCCAGACATCATACCACCTAACATTAGGATCGGTCTGCATCCAAACTTATTGGTCAGCATCGCAGAAAACGGGCCTGGAAGTGAGAATTAGTTAATTCTAGTAGCAAATTCTCACACCTCAACATCTTCACATGGATCTGTTCATCTGAAATAAGCCGCATCTAAAGGTTTAAATTGGGCTAAAAGTCTTAAAATGTTTTCTGTGACTACACCAGCTAATATATCTGCTTTTCTGAAAAACAACAATTCTACTTCCTTTGTGCGGTGCTTTATATTTTTTTAAGCTCAGAAAGACCCGGGTGTAATTTCCTAGAAACAAATTAAAGTTATGTTATGACCATGAGGTATGACAAAGATCAACCCTCTGTAATGTGCACAACCTGCTGTAATGGTATATTATGTTAAAGTGTTCAACTCAATAGGGTATTGATGCTATCTTAACTCATTTTTTCTTATGTTTCTAATATGATCTTACCGGCTGCATATAATCCGAATGTTGGTAGTGAACCAGCCCAAGCCACCATGACTTTCGGTTGATGAGGAAAGGCTTCTATAAGAATTGCATAATAAACACCAGCAGACCACGCCAAACCATAAGACAGCATATGATATACAAAAACCGCTGCTACAATTAGCCATGCCCATCCTCTATCAATATCATTAGATTCTAACTTCGTTTTCCCGGACTTCATTCTGCAAAAGAACATTTTTAAATGTGAACAGTATCTAACAGTGGCCCAACTAAAAGAGTGGGGCCCACGGTTTTTGGGCCTATACCTAAAATACAAATAGTCAACTTGGAGATCATACGACTTATTGATATGCTAATATATTAATTAGTCCCTAGAGATTTTCGTTCAAGCATTTCCGGAGAATGTTCCCATATCCGCTACGTGTCCGATTCGTTTAAATATTCTTTAACTTCATCGATAATAGTACTCCGTTCATTAGTTTATGTTGCAACACAATATGTCATTATAGGTAACAGTATTCATTTCTTTTTATGATATGTTTTTTTCGCTAATGTGAAGTTAAATTCCGATTCATCTCAGTTGAGATATATGAATCATTATACAAATTATGCAAATATTATTTGCACTAATGTTGAAACTGTTTATCACTTGATAAACATGTCAATACTTTCTCTATCTAACACAAATTTAAATTCAATGGAATCACCCATTTACCTGAATACATCGACTAAAATCTAAAAATTAAAATATAACAACGTGAAATTGTTATCACTTTAATATTGCCAAGTGAAAATAACACTTAAAAAACAACTAACAGTTTACACCTATAGATCTTTTCTCTTATGTATCTGTCCTATGAAATATTTTTCAAAATAGTCTTTCCTTGGAATTATTTCACCATATTGCCCAATGAAAAAATACATTGAAAAGCAAATAGAATAGAGGACACTTGTTTCTCCTATCTTTAGTATCACCTTTTCTCACAATGGTCTTAACAAATAACCCCTTTTCATTACATTATAATGGAGTAAAATTACAACAAAGAATATCACCCATCTTGAAGAGCCAATAGAAAGATAACTGATACCTTATATCTATCAGTCCTGTAATTTCACCCTTCGTATACTCCTACCTACTACCTGAATACTTTCATACACACGTCAACGACTAATACTCTTCACATTCTGAACCGACACCGAAATAATCAGGCATATAATTAATATTATAGCAAATGTCAAAATAAATCAGAGAATCTGACAACATAGATAAAAATAAACATATTTTACAAAACTAAATACCACAACATTCTTTTTCATTATTTACAGAACAGTGGTTACCATCGAACACATGACCGAAATCTGTTGAAATTGCACACTGATGAAATATGGCGACGATGTGTTTTTCAAAATTCTGTTATTACCTACAGTCAATCCGATTAGTGAATGGCCGAGTTGTCGGGCTATACAGATACCTGAAATTGAGCTTTTTATTGTAATATTTCGACGACGATATCCCTTTAACAGTGAAGGGATGTTTCATAGAGAAATATTTTTCAGTCTAAAGGTGAGGATGACGAGGTACGGTGCCCAGTGCAATGTACGTGTGGGATTTGCGACGCAATAGAGCAAGATATTATTATTCTACTTCAATTACTTTTTAGATATCAATCTTTTACAGCAATTACTCTCCTAGATATTATTATTCTACTTCAATTAACTTTTAGATATCAATCTTTTACAGCAATTACTCTCCTAGATATTATTATTCTACTTCAATTACTTCTTAGATATCATTCTTCTACAACAATTACTTTACGAGATATTATTATTCTTCTTCGATTATTCTCTTACATATCATTATTCTACATCAATTACTGTCCTTGATATCATTATTCTACTTCAATTACTGTCCAAGTTATTATTGTACATCAATTATTATCCTGATATCACCATTCTACATTAATTACTTTCGAGATATGATTATTCTATATCAATTACTGCCCTAGATATCATTATGTTACATCGATTACTCTACTAGATATCGTAATTCTATATCAATTACTGTCCAAGTTATTATTCTACTTCAATTACTCTCCTGGATATTATTATTCTACTTCAATTACTGTCCAAGTTATTATTCTACATCAATTACTATCCTGATATCACCATTCTGCATTAATTACTGTCCAGATATCATTATTATATATCAATTATTCTCCTAGATATCATTATGCTACACCCTTTACACTTCTATATATTTATATGTACACCCTTTACACTTCTATATATATATATATTCAATTACTTTTCAAGATATCACATAAAGAAATGAGCGTTACTTGTCTTGAATGCGGTAAACGCCTAGTGAAGATGGACATCCTAAGATCTAAGTTATAAAAATAACAAAATGGAAGAAAACGTCACTTACACAGTGAGGTATTATTATACGTATGCATTATACATTATTTGGTAATTTCTCACAAACACTCAACTTGAAGGACATACGACTTATTTATATGCTTATCTCGCCTTTAAGACGCACAGTACGGATAGATTTTCATTCAAGCATATAATGAGAATGCTATAATGTCCGCATTGTGTCCGATTCTCTTCAAGATTCCTATATTTTTAAACGACATCGATATTAGTAGTTTGTTTATTCGGAGTTTAAAGCATTAGTTTAATATACACCAATATGAAGCATTTATTTCTTTTTATGATATATTTTTTCGCAAATCTGAAATATACGTGGAAATATAATTTCCGATTCACTTCAGTTAGGATCTATTAATCATGATGCAAGTTTCGAAGGAAAATATATAAATATTATTTGCTCCAATATTGAAACTTTTCATGACTTTTGATAAACATGAAAAAACTTTCTCTTTTTAACCGTTGATAAAACATAAATCTAATGGAATCGCCTATCTACTAATTACCAATTACCACTAAAACTTGAATTTAATGCAGCGTTTAATTATTACCTTAGAATTATTTCACCATATAGCCTAAAGATAACGTCCACCTACCTTGAAAAGCCAATAGAATAGAAAACACCTATAGAATTAGTTTCCTTTGTATAGTCCTGTGTCACTTTTTCTCATAATGGTCTAAATAAATATCTTTTTTTCATAACACTATGACGAAGTAAAATTACGAAAAAAATATCACCCACCTTGAAGCGCCAATAGAAAGATAACTGATACCTTATATCTATCAGTCCTGTAATTTCACCCTTCTTATACCCCTACCTACTACCTGAATACTTTCATACACACGTCAACGACTAATACTCTTCACATTCTGAACCGACACCGAAATAATCAGGCATATAATTAATATTATAGCAAATGTCAAAATAAATCAGAGAATCTGACAACATAGATAAAAATAAACATATTTTACAAAACTAAATACCACAACATTTTTTGTCATTATTCAAGGAACAATAGTTACCGTCGAAATTAGTCTGCATGGCCCAAACTCTTGAAATTGTACACGAGTGAAATATGACAACAATGCATTCCCTTGTTCGTGTTTTTTTTTTTTGCAAAATTCAAAATAACCTACAGTCAATACTATAAGGGGTGATTAATCGGAACCTTAACTAAAACAATTATTAGAACAGTGTGCATAACGTGACAAAACGCGTTTTTAATTGCAGGGAACTGGCGAGCGAAGAGAAAGTTATGAAGACGCATACTAGTTCCGATATCACTTTGGAGGAACGGTTAGTGGCAGATTTGACGGTATATCTCAAATTCAGCTTTATTGCATGTATCGCGATATTTGGACGACGATATCCATTTAACAGTTTAGGAATATTTCATTTCTTGTGAGAATAGACGAGATATTGTGTACGGTGTAGGATTAAATATACAAAAGAAAACACTAGAAGCGAAGTGTTCATCATTATATTTGCATCTGTACACTGCACCGGGCACTGAATCTCGTCTATTCTCACCTGAGCGACTTTATTTTTGCATTAAATTTTGCTAAGGAGTGGGAACAAGCGTCTATACAGACTTCTCCTTAAGTTACAAAATGCAGCATAGGACGTTAATCGTTTCTAGCGCTAACGTATACCAAAATACAAGAAAGTCGGCCCAATCGAACATGAGTTCAGTCACTCGGAAAATTTCTTGAAAGATATTTTTTTTTATCATATTATGATTATTTGTAAGGCCATTGTTGTTTCCCAGATAATGATTTTAACAGCTTTTATAGAGTATGGCCTACTTTTGCTAATTGATATTTAAATGTCGTTATTATTTTGTAACATTACATATTAGTATATTCTATTTTATGTAAGGATATGATCAATGGATCATTCAGTTGATAAAAAAAATCCTTAAAATACCAAAATGATGGATTATAGCACCCTAGGTATCGCTCTAATACTTTCTTAGTCATGATAATTGAAATTCAGATGTGGTCATCAAAAATGTTTCTCTCGTGTCGTATATCAAGTATTTTTGGATACAAATCTCTTGATTTAGCAGTTTTCGCTAAAAAAATTTCACGCGGTGTACAGACCATTTCATCAAATACATTGAGACTTTCCGACCGTTGGCATCTGTCAGTTCTCTAGAGAAATGTGTCCTTTAACGTATCTGAAAGTTGTAACTAAAAATATCCAAACATCAAAATTATTTAAAAGTTTGGGTAAGTTCATTATACTTTTTGGAAACTGCTAGAAAACTAATGTGCGAATTTAATTAAAATAGACGCCTTATTGTAGAAAAATATGTCTTCGACCTATTCTAAAGATTCTAAAACTCCCCGTTTTGAATTAACCCTTATGTTTTTTTAAACAATTCAGTTTGATAGAGTAGATACATAGATATAAAAAGCATATAGCTGGTTTCTTGAGCTGACCAATTTGTCATAGGACCTGAAATCCGGTTAGATTAACATCCAAGAAGTACCTAGAATGGCGGAAACAATGTTCAACTTTTGCCAAGTTGCTTTTGAAGCCTTCTGAATAAATTCTACCAACTATCTAAGAGGAGGCGGTATATAAAACAGTACATTAAAACGCCTCGGTGACGTTTTCAATTTTGTTTCGCGTTGAATGATTTCTGCTAGCTTTTCAAGAGGACGCCATAGAAGTCCAAGAAAAAGTGTAGCCTACCTTAAATGGCCTCGGTAACGATTTTTATTTTGTTTCGCGCTGAATAGGTTTTATCAGCTTTTCATGTTTACGCGATAGAAGACGAT